CAACTCTTAGCGCTGTAGCGGAGCAAGATTTACGTTCGCTTCTCAGCTGATATGCCTTCGCCGCAATCGCCACAAGGTGTCGCTAATTTTTATTCTGATCACTTCTTCGAACACAAAAAACGAATCTCTTGAAGTCCACAGAAAATTTTAAAATAAATAAAAGTAATAGCCTTCTGAAGAAAAATTTTATCTTCAACCACTGAAAATTTCAAAGCAATTTGTCCAGTATTCGAAGAGAAAAGCGATTTCTTCAAAACGTGTCAAACAACAAGAGAGAGATCTAATATTGAAACGATCATTATGTCCATTTCGTGTCCAATAAATTCCATATTGGGCCTTGGGATAAAAGATGCACCAATATTACACAAAGCATCTCTAGGCTCCTAGGCAGTTAATAGATCAAACACTGTCGAATTGTGCCCAGCGGAGCTTGTCCCACTAAACTCCGGTCTATTGTTCCCCACAGGAAACAAGTATTTTCAGACTGCGAGATTATAAAGGTACATCCACTCGCCAACGTAATGAATATTTTACAGTGGACTAAAGCTGAAAAATATCAGATGGTGGTTTGCTATGTTGGAAAGACTGAAGTAGAAAATATGAAACGGTGAAATTTTAGTTTCGACCCCCCTAAAACCAATTTTATCTAATAGCTTGCGTCACTCTGCACGACCGTTGTCTGTTGTCCGGGACGTTGTAAGTCACCGAGGAGCGGATTAAACATCGAATTGCAGAACTGATTTTGCATATAGTATGGGTGTGAAAGCTGATTTTTTATGCGATTCACAAGTAAACGTGACTGAGTACCGAATTCGCAAAACCAAAACGGACAGTCGCAACGGTCACAATTCATGAAATGACAGCGCTGTTTTCAGGAAATAAAACTGTAAGACTTTAAGTAATATATAGGATTCGATAAAATTAAAAAAAAAAATTAAGGTCAATCTCTAAGGAAATTTCAAGTCGATTGTTTCATTAGATACAACAAAAAGCGAAAAAGTCACTCCAACAGGAAGTGAAAAGATATGTATTTTCATAATAACATCACATAAATGAATTGAAAGGAAAATTGCGGCAGTAGTTACTTATTTGAAAGAATTGTCCGTGTGGGGTTAACCCTATAATGAGTGTGCCACAACTTCTTGTTATTCTTTAGTGCGTCGCAGACTGAAAATTTTCGGGAACCACTGAGTTACAATAACACACTTCTTGAGTAGGTATCGCTTGTTGAGAAATTTCATTGACATTTCATTCATTGTGATGTCATAAAATTGGATGTTAGACTAGTTAACTGGGACGCGATAAAGAAAGAACCAATTGACAAATAAAAGATATTATATATTAAATATTTCGATCGCACTGATAAATAATATACACATTAAAAAGGGACCTCCTGAAGTATGTGCACCAAGATGACGCACAACCTGAACTCAGGTTGTGTACCAGGTTAGGGTTCAGGTTATGCGACATCTTGGTGCGCATACTTCAGGAGTACTCAAAAAGACATGCTAAAGATCAAGAAGCCTCTTGAAAATTCATTCAAGAGTAAACTACTTTACTGCAACATTGTGGAGACAAAGAAGATTCATCCGAAAGATTTGGTTGTTTCATACGAAAAAAATTGTGAATCCCGATGGATTATTATGCGCCGCAGGATTTTCGCCGACGAAGACTGGTTTCTGCAATCATCGAGTTCGGGCACTGGAAATGAATTACTGACTAACTATTTCCCTATTCGACCGGACGAGAGGCTGGTTGGCCATATGACTAAGCCGCCTTATGATTTTCCTCTCCTATTATACGCAAGGTAAAACATGTGATTGAGCCACTCTTTCAACGTTCTCTTCCTCCAGGACAGGGGTCACCAAACTTTTTTGACCGCGGGCCGGGTATGACTCAAACTGTGTTGAAACGGGCCGGATGAATATTTTTGTCAATGCAATACAATAAATTTACAAAAGTTGGGAAATTCATTCAATTTATTCATCAATAATATATATTCTACATTTCTGAAGACTTTAATATTAAATTCTATCTATATCGCAGAATATAGATCGAGAACATCCCAGGAAAACAAATATACAAGATTTCTATATCTAGACAACTATCCCGAGTTTAGCTGTTATCAAAACGTTGCTGTCATGAATTAGGAATGTTACAAAATCCGCTTTTTTGCGCCAAAAATGTACGCATCACGTTTGCTAAGTACCGTTACGCCGTGTTGGAATGGAATTCCGCTCATAAAAACGACCACGGACTGCCTGCTGTAGCTTGTAATTTCATGAAATTTTGACATAATTTAGATAAAATAATCAACTATCATCTGAATTTGATTTTTTTCATTATCGCATAAATTTCCTAACATTCGACGCTTTTAAAAAAAATTACGCTCCAGTTGTACGTAGTGCAAATTAATGATAGTATACCGACGATCGCCCGTAATTGCCCGTTCTTTTTTCATATTCATTAGAGTTCTTATCAAAAAAGTAATACAATTATTATGGAAAAAAGTGGCCTGTCGGGCGGTACTAAAATTCCCATATCTCCGTTACTTCTTGACCGTTTTTTTATAAACTTGGTATTGTTTTCTATTTTCACTCAGATCTATCCACTGGCGCAGTTTTTATTTGAATCGGATGAACTTTTTTTTCACAAATTTTTGGAAACACACCTACATGAATATCCGCATTTAGACAGTACAAAAGTTAGTGTGACTTGTGAAATTGGAGCAGTACGCGAGGGATTACAGTACTGTTAGCGCAAAATGCACATTGGACGTTATTTTAGCACAAGAAACGTAAACTGTTTCGTAGAAAGCACGCGCCACGAGTGTACAAGTAAATCTTTCGCAGAAAACGTTGCGTACCGGTAGAGAATTTTAGCCTATTTTGTCACAGCTATATTTTTAGACTAATTTTTCATTGCTACTATTAAAACTACAACTCCTAAGGAGGCAAATGATAATTTACTTATTTGATTCATACTTAAATTTCCGATACAAGATTGTTTATTATGGTGTTTTAGTTTATTTCATATATATTCAAACCATAAAAGTCATTTTATAAAAGGAAACCTAAAAGGTGGGGCTAATGATTCGAAAATCTAGAATCAGGTGCGGTCCGAATCCAATACTCAAAAGGTCCGGATTCGGACCGCTAGTTGAGTAGCCCAGGGGTGGGCAACGTTTTCCGTCTCGCGTGCCAAAATCGGCTAAATTTAACAACAGAATTCTTCTGCCTGCCTGCCAAAATTAAAAACAATGCTTTGCTGCTTTTAAAGCAAAGATACACAATAATACCCCTTGTAAACATGTACAGACAGATTCACTATTTGGGAAAATACCAGTCCGACAAATAGAGTTGATCTATTTTCTTATTCTATATCAGTGAGACTTCTGCATTGCCTCTGATCGAGATGTTACATATTGGTTTATACTTTGTAACTTTCATAGAAATACACGAACTACTGGGTTCATCTTTCAGGCTACTCCTATTACGACTTAATATTATTCCATTCCCTATCACTTTTATTTCTTTCGAAATAAATTTATCAATAAGTTAGTCATTTGTTGCGTCATGATATATTTCTTTGTAGCCATATGTCATGCAGGGACAAAAAGAGTTTAAATAAATAACGGATTGTTGAAGAATAATGAATAAATGAACACCGAGTTTCATCAGATAATTGAGAGTCTTTAAACTTTTCATTAGAAGGAGAATGATCTCGTTTCCGAGGCCTCGCTCGCGTGCCGAATAAATGGGCTCGCGTGCCAAGCTAACCTAATAACCAGTATAATTAATCAAAGCTTTCTACATCTTTTCACGACCCACTAAGATTCCCTTTGCGACCCACCAGTGGGTCGCAACCCATAGTTTGGGAACCGCTGGTGTAGCATGTTTTCCCAAAAAGTTCCAGTATAGGTGCCAACTTCATAAAATTTCCGGCGCAAGTGTTTAAAACAGAGTTTTTGGTGAAATTGCGATAATGAATTATGTTGAGTGAAGCTCCTATTGTTTTGTAAACAAACCACCGTTTACTTTTTCTCTGAATAAAATATGATAGTGTACTCATGAAAAATATTATTTTTTTTGTATTCATTGTTCTTTGTACAGTAACCCGATACATGTACTCCTTACAATCTGTCAGGTCTTATTTATGGACAAAACTCCAATCTAAGCAATTTATTGACAGCGCGTATCATACCCCTATGGTCCTTGAAATAGGATATGAAAGCGGTTCCCAAACCTTTAGTTCCTGCGGCGCCCAATTATTATCAGGGAAAAACTCACAGCGCACTTAACGTTACACTATAAAAAATGCTGCCTCTAAATAAAACTCCCTTTTGTGATCGTTAATGTGTACAATACTTAATTCCCTTTTAGAATTTTGTAAATAAGTAGGCCTGAACTAAGAAATAGAGGCAAACGTCAACTCTGCTTCCTAATTTCTGTCTGATTTTCCTCTAGCTAAACTCAGAAGATGACTGCATGATTTTCAGAAAAATGCTGGATTACAATACCAGCAAAAAATACCACAAAACCTAGAAATTTGTTCGGGATATGGTCAAGTTATAATCAAATAGCAGTCGCACGAGAGGCCGTGGTTTGCCATATGATAAGCGTCCTATTGCCCCCCATGAGAAAAATATTTTATTATCATTCAAGTCTAAGTGGTATTCGGACAAGGAAAGCAGATACCGTCAATCAAAGTCCAGATACAGTCGAATATCAAAGTTCTAATAAATTACGACATCTTGCTAGACCACCATCAACAGGCATTGGAGTGGTCAGCCGAAATGCCATCGATACTTCTGCTCATAGATAAGTCTCCCAACAGGGTAGTGGTTTGGTACCAAGGAGATGATAGCTGGAAAACATGATCGGACATCAGCGTTTGCTTTTTCTACTGTTTTATTCTATTCTATTCTACTATTTACTCACCAACGACAGCGCCGAGTGTCAACGTATGTTCAGACCCACCGAGGCACCAACAAGACAAAATTTCAATGGTGGCGTATATTTGTATAACAGCAAACCGTGAAAGAATTTACATTACCCGAAACCTTCAGACAATGTTCAAAACCTAATGAACAATTTACATCAAAACAGATTATCTTGGAAAGAATGTCCATCAATTTTATTCTACATGTTTTAGCAATACCAAGAAGCAAATTGTACTTGTCCTGATTTACATGTATGGGTTAACTGCACCAAAAAAATGACCACAAAACGCACAATAAAAGCGCACTCATAAAATCAAGAAAGACGCACAATAAAAGCGCACTCATAAAATCAAGAAAGACGACTTGAATATGCAAATTTGCAACAGAAAGCACCACACATACGACAATTAATTTTCGCAGTATGGGATCAATCACTTTTGAGAGGCAAGGCAGATACTCAACATATGCTTATCCTAATTTATAACGAAAATAAATTATAAAAAAAAACAATACAAAATAGTTATACACATTTAAAGTAAAGCTTTTCATTTCACTGCCTCATGTAATGGAAGCTATTAAATAGGTATAATTATGTAGGTGATGCACAATTTTCAACCAAGTAACACCAAAGAATAGCATACCAGAAGCAGGAGGAATGTAAACATCATTGACTGAATATAGACCACCTTTCTCTTACAAAAAAGAATTTGAAAAGCAAAACAGAACATGTTATAAGTTATTATGAAAGAGCAATCAGAAATAATAAGAAGGCAGTGAAGGGACAAAGAATAAATGGTGTGCTGATAGAAAAGCTATAGATGCATCTTCATAAAAGGTAAATTCAACTAAATTGAAATCCTGATGGATTTTCTCAAGATAATAAAATACTTGGACCATTCCAAATATATATTAATACAAGATGGAATCCGCCATATCAACTCAAAGTATATCCTTTTCAATCATCCAAATCATCAAAGCCCCGACATTGATCTGTGAAGCTTATGTGACCCGGAGGCATGATAGGTGAGTCCCAATGTGCTGAGCTGGTTCGTTTGAAATACCGAGATTTTGATCCTCCGAATATTTTTTCCAATTTCATCTCTTCAAGAGCATTGCGAAATGTAATTTTCAGATCGGGCGGATTATAATATTGCTTAATGATCTGGGAACGAAGCATGGGTCCTGAAAATAAAAGTACAATACGTTTTTGCATACGAAAATTATGACAAGCAAAGATGGTAAAGACCTAAAAAAAACAAAGAAGACTGGCGAAACTTTCACAAAGAGTCACCTTCCCGAAAATTTCCGATCTGGGCAGGTAATGACTAGGTAAGAAATAGTGTATAAGTTTAATTCTTTACAAAAACAGTCCCACCCAAATCTTACTGTTGCATACAAGTTTAAAAATTGTCCAGAAATGATTCACCATTCTCCAATAAATGTGTCAAGCGCAAGTTAACCTTGTCTGAAATTTTTCCAACCGCAAAAAATCTTCACACGATTGAATTGTTCCATATAAAAAATAACGGTCTACCTTTTGACCATCTTGGTACTACTTTTCTTGGATTTTCATCATCATCAGTACTATCATCACTTGCAATATCATCTATGTTATAATTCTCTTCTGTAGATGGAGCAAAAACTTTGCCCTTGCGATTCGGAGTCATGTCATATGACTGCGGGGATTCATGCTGAAAATAATTTATGAAGGTTTAATTCACTCTACTACCACAGAACATTAAAAGAAATTAGGAGTACAAAATCCAGTCCGAGCAATAAATAAACTTAATCTTGTAACATAAAACAGTCATACGATCTCTAACTTCCACACATAATTCTATTTTTTTACGTTATAGTATTTAGATATGCAGTTGAGAAATGCATGAATAAAATTGAAAACTGAATAATGCTTACTGAATAATAACATAGCTTCAGGAGTTGAATCGAAGTTTATTTTTGTCTTGCAATCCGATGTTGCATGCTCAAACTAGCAATTTCTCCAATGAAGATACTCTACTACATTATTCTTATAATCAACAATTTAATGAAGCAAATATAACCAAGACTGAACATTGAATATATTTTGGAGATCCATGATCGAGTTGAATACTGATGAAAGAAAATTACAAACCAGATGAGATGTGTTCTTCTCCAATGTGTAAGTAGAGTTGTGACCACTAGGACCTGCACTCTCGTTCATCGTTTCGTTATATACGGCACCACTGGGGACTGCATTCTCCGATGTGTAAGTAGAGTTGAGCCTACTAGGACCTGCACCCACATCCATCGTGTTGTTGAATATGGGACCAATGGGGGCTGCATTCTCATCTAATGTATACGTGGAGTTGTGATTACTAGGGCCAGGAGTATGATGTAAACTTTGATTGAATGTTGCAGGATTCATTGCCTTCAATTTATCTTTTTCCCGTTTATGTTCTTCTTCTAACTTTTTCAACCTTTCATTTGATTCCTAAACAAGGTTTCGATTTAGAAAGAGCGACAATTACAATAGTTTGTACAGACAAACCAGAAAGTATTTAATCACGTGCAGATATGAAACCAAAAACAACTTCGTTCTTCTCTGACTAAATTTTTAAGGTGATTCTTTGACATATATTTTGCATGAAACATCCTTGCAATAGGCAAAGCACTACATCTTAATCGAAGTCCATATTTAACAATTACCATAAAAACAACAGTTGATACAAAATGAAGTATAACAACGTTTCATCTTGTGACCCCACATGACAGATTCAGATATCAGGTTAAGAATTTTTGAATTCTAAAATGAATAGAAAGTAAACCTGAATTTTTCTTAATTTCTCTTTCTCTGCAATTTCTTTTTTCCTCCGTTTTTCATCATCAAGTTTCTTTTTCTCTTGTTCTCTTCGCAATCTCTCCTATAAAATATGATACACCAAATAAATTACAAAAAGCAACCTTCTGGGCTAGTAAAAAGCATAAAAACTAATTGGTGAAACTTCGTCATGACCAATCATAAACTGTTGAGTCTACACCTTCACTGATCCGGCCAAAACACAATTGTCAGTGCCAAACTGACCTCCTCTCTTTTCATTTCATCTTCTTTTCTCATTTCTTCTCTTCGACGTCTCAATTCCTCAGCTCGAGCAATTTCTTCTTCTTTCTTTCTCAAAGCTTTTTCTTCTGCCAAGGCCTTTGCCTCTTGCTGTTTTCTTTTTCTTGCTTCCTCCTTTTCTTTTCTTCTTATGGCTTCCTCCTGTCGCCTAAGAGCTTCCTCTTTGAGTTTAAGTTGAGCTTCCTTTTCCTTTTCAATTCGTTCTTGTTCAATACGTGCAGTTTCTGCATTTTTCTTGTCAATTTCCTCCTAAAAACAACAAAACAAATTACCTCAACACACAAAGTTGCAGTAGTTTGCGTCGACATTAATACATGCTATTCGTTGATGAGGTTGGTAAAAATGATCAGCAAAAAATCCATGTGCAGGATTGCACAATCGTTTGAAATCCGCAAATAAAATCAATACACCCTTTTGGAAGGCAATCCCCCTTTCATCTATTTATAATTCAAAAACAATTTTTCCAATAGCCAACGTAACATTAAAATCCATGGCATATGGTTTTTTCTAAATATCCCTCAAATATAAATCGAGAACCAAAAGTATATTTTTTGTGCAAATCTACCTGTATTTTTCTCTTCTTTTCAGCTTCTTTTTCCAATTTCTGTAATCTGAGTTTATTGGCAGCTTCTGCTTTCATACGTTTCGATTTTTCTTCTTCTTCTCTCTAAAAAGTTGAAATGGAATTTCAAAAAAATATGACCACATACCATATGATCTATCCACATTGGCGTTTACTTGGTGATTTCAAAAACTAACATAATTTACACTAATTAACAATGACAATGACATATTGTTAATCAACTTGCCATAACGGATTTGAGCTGACTGATACATTTTGGAAGTGAGATTTCAATTTTCAATTCATTCAAAATATTAACTGAAAACTTCACCTTCATTGTTTCTTCTTCTTCTTTCCTCAATTGTTCCGCAATTTCTTTTTCCTCCTTCAGTTTATCCATTTTTTGTCTAAAACGAAGAAACATCATGAAAAAAAATTAACAAATTATTTTAGTAGATTAGTAAGGTTAGTAATTTCTTTTACCCATACAGGTAATAATGTTGTGTACAAATTACACAATGAACATTTTTACTGCTATATGGAAGGCTCTCAAATTGTCTGCACTGCACTTCATTGTCTGCACTTTGCGAAAAAAAATTCATCAAACTGTGTTGAAATGTTTCCATTGCAAAACATATGGACATAATTTCAGTGTAAATTAACCATGATTGATTGCAAGTATTTCATTAACAATCTATAAACTCTTAAAAGGTTGTCACTTTGCTAAGTAATCCTACATATAGGGTTTATACAACTAATATATATACGGTAAGTCTATAAAGTTATAAAAGTATAAAGTGGAAACTTAGCTAAAAAACCTGTTACAAGCACAAAGATTACAATATTTGCAGATACTAATATGTGCTTCGACCAAAGATAGCTTCCAAGTGCTTGCTTCCCAGTGAGAAATGTTATTTTACACAAAGTAGAGTTTCACAAATAAAACTTTATACTTTTCCAATATTTTTTTTTGTTCAGCTTGCCTTTTCATGGCAGCTTCTTGTTCTTTCAAAAATTTATGCTCCTGCAATCGTTGTTCTTTTTCCTGTTCCTGAAAGATATTAAAAAATTTGGTACTCCTGAGTCCTAGGTATGCGCACCAAGATGTCGCATAACCAAAACCCTAACCTGGGACACAATCTGAGTTCAGGTTGTGCGACATCTTGGTGCGCATACTTCAGGAGGTCCAAAAATTTTCTTGTAAAACACAATCTTAGCATGGCTAACTAGTCAGAGTAGACATGACATCGCTTTTAATACCAACAAAAATTGTCCCATATTTTAAGTCATGAAATAACTGTAAAATTCATAATTATTTTAAAAAAAATATGATAAGTTGTGTAAACTGGAAAAGTGAACATAAAAATTGATACTCAAATACAGCGGCTCCAAAAGCGTGTGATTCGCAAAGTGCGCCCCCAAAATGAACAAAATTGTGTTAAACATAGCTAATATTTGATTGAATATTTTACATATTTCATTTGTTATAAATGTTTTATTGTTTCTTATTTTAAGTGTGATGTATATGAATCAATGAATTCCTTTTACCTTTCTATGTCTTTTACTTTCTGTTACATAGTGTTCTATAACGATCACAAAATTGAGTTTTGATAATTTTGATAATTTGGCGCCGCCGCAAGAACGTAAAGTTAGGGAACCGCCGCTCTACTACCATTGGCAAACCAATTATTATTTAACATTAAACATTTGCATTACAGGGTATAAGGATTTGAATTAAAAAAGACCTGTTGTTTAATCTTTCGTATCCTTTCCTCTTCTTCTCTACGTCTCTGTTCTTCTGCCTCAACTTGCTTCTTTTTTATCTTCTTAACTTTTGCTGTTTCTTCTTTTTTGCGAAGAACTTTCGTTTTGTCTGCATCAGCAATTCTTTTCTCCCATTGTTCAACTTGTTTCAGTTGTTTTTCCTTCTCTTCCCGCAGACGTTGTTCTCTTTTTTCAGCAGCTTCACGAAGTCGCATGCTTCGTTTCCTATAATACCCACATTTGAACGTAACCTAAAACTCATATTTGCAAAAAAATATTTTTATGAAGTTTTACAACAGACCAAGTTGTTATTCGAGTGAGATGGGTAAGAATAGCAGGATTGCAAGCATAATCTAATTTCACACAAAGTAAAGCCGCAACTGCCAGACTTGGTTCAGCCCAAAGCGTATGTATAATACAAGCGAGGCAACGCTCAGACAATGGACGCCATTTTGTGCCTATTGTTCTCGGTCATCTAACACGATGCCTCGTGAGAAGTTTGCACACAATTGTTGAAACATACCTATTATTTTCACTAATATTTTAGGTAGAAAGATTTTCAAGGTCGCGTTTTGAAGTAAAATCTTAGCCGAACACAATGATATCCTTTCGTGTTTGCCAAATTGCATTTATAGTTGATTAAATTGTTCTGGTTCAGGGTTGCTTCCGAAGTAAGTTGGCCATTCTAATCGTCATAATTGGCCATTTGACAATGGCGTTCCTTGTGATGTCACAGATGGGAAGTTGTATTTATTTGTCGAAATGACCGTCCGACTGTTTCTATTTTGGGGTTAACATTTTTCGTCTGTCTAGCTCATTAATGACCAACTGCTCACCTCCAAGCTATGCTAGAAGACCAAATGACATTGTAGGATTGTTAAGACGGCACTATACAGCGTCAAGTCGGTGTATCACTATAAGAACTTCAAAAGATATGAACGACATATGCCAATGCCAAAAATCATCCTACGTTGTGTTTGTGGCCAAATATAACACGTTAGATAGTTTTTTATTCTTAATTTCGTTATATATTTAGGTATCACATAGCTTAAAAAATCCACCCTTCCCCTTCATTCTAGCCCTTATAATAGCTGACTTATTCGATTCGGTACAACAACACGACAAAAATTTCCCATAAGACTCCATTGTTTCGCGGTTCACAAATATGGCACAAGATGGAGTCCATGAACTTGTTTAACAACATTAGACAAGTTGGCCGCCGGCCGTTTGTTCAGCCTCAGTGATAATTTTTAATCTTGTAGCCTATAATGCGTTAAGGGAAAAGTTGGTACAAGCTTTGGTAAATTGTTGAGTAATTTATAAGTTAAGTCAGGATCCTCATACACTCTTATAAGCTTGTCAGTCAACAACCATGAACTTTAAAAATTGCTACGTAACCTGCTTGTAGATATTTACCTTTTTTTCTCTTCGATCTTTCTCTGTTTCTCTTCTTCTTTCTTTTTCTTCAATTCCCGTTCTCTTCTTTGTTTTTCTTCCAGCTGCTGTTTCTTCTCCGCAAGCTGCTCCTGGAATTTTCCCGTTAACTTGTTACAATTTTTATTTTTGAGCATGAAACACTCGACCAAATTGCACAAACACTTGGGAGGGTGCAATGTTGTACTGGTATAATTATGAAGAATATGAAAGTGTTATCATTATGTAATAAGTGGGTTTGGAATCGAATGATTTTGTATAGAATGACAAACCCAGCCAACTTTGGCACTGGGTGATGAAATGAACATTCACTGGATATTATTAGCTATGCTTACTTCAAATGTTTACCTCGATATTTGGATTCTATTCAAAATGCAAATCCAATAGTTACCTCATAGTCAACTTTCTGTGGGGTATTTCGCTTTATAAATGACTGAACATCTGCTGTTAAGTTCACTGGTCTGGAAGGACTCGTGAAACAAATATTTGGCCCAGATATAGTAGCGAAGGCAAATCCACGAGTACGTGAGGGAGTTAGTGGCCCCGGCGTTCGCCTGGCACGACTTGATGCCGTAGATCTATTCAAAATCGTATTACGAGATTTCTAAATACAACAAATGACAAGTTTTGAGACGATTCAAAAACACAGCTATTAATGAATATAGTTACTCTAATTTTTTCAATCATTTACACAGTTACTACACAGTTTGCTCATCATTCCCTTCTTAATCTTAGAGCAGGTTATAATGTAAAATGAAGGAAAAGTTTATTAATATAACCAATCTTTATGAGCCTCGTTTGTAATCGGTTGAACAGTTCATGTAGACAGACAAAAAAAGTATGAAAAATGCTAAAATAAAGCTAGAAAAAATAAATAAAATATTAGTCAAACAGCAACATGAAAATTCTCATAACAGAATAAATAGATATGAAACAGAACTGAAAAAGCATGCAGATTATTCCGCAAAGCATACAAGAAAATTCAAAATTAAAACTTTTGACAAGCTCGAATCATAACAGATTAATCTTTTTTTATAATGGTACATGCAGAAAAGTACCTGTATAGGCAGTTTCTTTGACTTTGTTTTATCGTGACATAATGGACTAGCACATTTCATGTACTGTAAAGCAAAAACAAATGCACAGTGACTGAGCAACCAAAAACCACACAACCTTCAAAATCTGTGCATTTAGTAGAGAAAAAAATCTTCCCTTTATACCCTTGAAAAGTTGAAATGTAGAACTGGGGGTAAAAGGACCCCAGTTTGGGAGCCCCTGCTTTATATAGTCAAGAACAACCTGATCTAGGCCATGCCTTTGTAAACCGATTTCTAACAAGATCACGATGTGAGTTATTGTCATATGAATAAATATAGCAGATTAGTGAACAACAGGCGTATGGCAGGTTAAGGCACTGAATTCGGATAGGAGCAACGCAGAATAACTGAACAGCAATAACCACCGCACAGTTGCACCCAGTCAATCAACGAGCTGTCTAAACATATTTTATCATGGCTCAAGCAAAAGATTCTTCACATATTAAATAAATGTCAGAGCTTTCTATTTTTAAAATGGCCACCAGTGACAGCAAAGATTTATGAATATCAAAAGCTCTATTCTTTCCTGCTATTGAACTTACTAGTTAGTTATAAATACATAATTCAAAAATTTAAAAAAATGGATAATTTTAGTTTGGTAATTCATTTCACTCTGATAACTGTTATTTATATTTTATTATTAACATTATTCAGGCAGTGTTTGCATGTCATTAAACTATAGGAAGAATAAGCACCATTATGCAGTGCATGTTACTTCAATCTCATTATGTGCTTGTCATATATCAAATGGAAAAATCTTAGATAATTTTTCATTCCAAGTGACAAAACAACAAATCTTGCCTTGAAGTCAAAATTAAAATGAAAAAATTCAGCTTTTACCTTTAACCTTGGTTGAGATGGGGATAATAGACCACCGCTTTCTACATCTGTAAGATTACGCTTTGTCCTTGGCATAACACGCTGGGATGAAGTGCTCATTGGCAATCCTGTAATCAGGTCATTACTTACTTTTCAAATGAAAAATGATAATTCTAGTAAGCATAAATTCAAAGTTTCTATTTGGTATTATGAATTGCGCATTCTGATAATTTTCAGCGCTCCAGAAGTATGTGTACCAATATGGAGGTAACTAATTTTGTTCGCCTACTTTACATCAAGTTGTGTAAAGGTACTGAAACCTATTGGCATGGGGACGGGGTATATTCATTTGGCTAACACAGATGGTCCCCGACTTGTAATAGAACTAAAATAGGGAAAATCGGAATAAAATTATCGCCTAACCCTAACCTGGTACACATACTACAGGAACGAGAGTACCTAATTTTCAATATATATATGGAGATAACATGACAGAATTTACTTTATATCTTTATCACAAATAAAATTCACAAAAATTCCATCAGTGATAAATCTTACATTTGAACACAATTAAATATTGAACTCCCAAGAAAGAACAAAACCACATAGCAGCTTGATGAGCCAATATAGACAGTGGAGAAATTTACAAAACTGACCAGTGGCAGAAAGAAGTCCACACCAAAAAGCTATTCACAGATTTTGTGCCCACATGTACCTACCTACCACTTGCATTTATGGTGCGGCACCTTTTACATTAAATTAACTTACTGCTTGGAATAGCCAATTTTTTTCTAAAGACTGGTACAGGTTTCGTTATTTTCGGCCTCTTAGATTCTGAACTTTCATCACTGGAATCTTCAGTGTCTAAAAATATAGATTATCCATTAAATTCTGCCAAGTTCTAACTTATGTTATTTACATTGCCTTACCTACTGTGTTTGGGACTGACAGACTGTTCTCATACGCCTTCTTATTAGCAGCAATTCGTTTTGCTGCCAATTTTGCAGGTGTGGATAAGCGTTTTGAAGCTAATCCAGCTGAAAGCAAGATAATAAACAAACTTTAATAATAGAAGCAACATAGGTTTTAATAAAGAAAAAATTTATGTGAAAAGTGAAAAATTCAGACCTCAAAAAATTCAATTTATCACTTACTAAGTAGACTTGGCCTTTTGCTAGCCCTGGTACTCCTACGTGGTGGAGTTTTCTCTTGTTCTTCAGTCTAAAATCATTCAATTAATTCAGAAAGGATTTATTCATATGGTTCTAGCCGGACACCTAGAATCGAATACCTAATTATTCAATCTATCCAACCTAATATGCTTGTGATCGTAACGCAAAAGCGACTTATTGATAATTGACTACCAAAATCATTCCTTTATCAATACTCAATATCATGATTTTATTCGTAAGTATATTAAACTAATAAATATGAGTGACATTTATTGACAAATGTACAAACCTGTTTAAATACATTGTATGTGACCAACATACCTCTGATGAACAACTCTCTTGAGACATACTCGACTGATCTTCACTATCTAATACAACAGTATTAGCAGATGATGAACAGAGTGATACTGATTGTGATGTTGTTGTACTTGTGATCTCTAGCATTCGTCCTTGGTTCTCTATTGAATGCAAGATGCATATTTAAAATTTGGGTGCTCCCGAAGTATGCGAACCAAGATGGCGGACATCGGAACGTAACATGGGTAACAGGTTAGGGTTAGGCGATAATTTTTTTCCAATTTTCCTTATTTTAGTCCTATTATCAGTTCGAAGACTAGCCAAGAGCTTCCCGTAGTATTTATACCTAAAATTATGGCCTAACCCTAACCTAGTACACATATTACATTCCGATGTCCGCCATCTTGGTTCGCATACTTCGGGAGCCCCAAAACTTGATTAAGAACTCTTGATAAAAATTTGATCACAGTTTCTAAAGTTGGAATACGATCATTATGAAAAAATAAAATTCCATGCTGTAAAATTGGCGTTCCAGAAGTGTGTGTACCAATATAAAAGTAATTAATTTTGTTCGCCTTTTTTACATCAAGTTGTGTAAAGGGACTGAACAGGGGGTATACTCACTTGGCTAACACGGGCAATCCTGGATTCTTGATAGAACTGAAATAATGGAAAATCAGAATGAAATTATGGCCTAACCCTAACCTGGTACACACACTACGGGAGTATCTTAAAATTCAGATACAACATAGTATTAAAAATCATGTACCATGCTTTGAGTCTTGTTCCAATCCTAGAGAAACAGTTGAGGGTTCTTGTTCATCAAAATTCATATCACCAGTTGCTATAATGAAAATGATAATTTTCAACCCAAAAATATATACAGTAAATACATGAATCTAAGATTTTAAATAAGTCAATAAATGTTGGATTAAAAGATAATGTAGGTTTCAGAGTGTCACATAAAAATGTAACTCAATGTATGAAACGACATACCAATAGCAGCTTCATGGATGGATGTTTCCATATCTGAAGCTGAATCAGACAAACGCAGATTAAAATCAAGACTTCTTCTTGGAACTGATAAAAAACGAAGGCAATTGTCAAAGTGACGAAACAAAAAAGAGATAAATCTATAGGATTAGCATTTTGAAATATATTTTGTTTCAGCATTCACTATAACAAAGTGGCAACTGAAGCACACCTTCTGATCAAAAAATAGTTTGGATAGAAACAAAAAGAAAATATTTCCAAAACAGACAATCTAAAGCATCTAGTCAGCATTCAACATAATAGAGATTTATCACGCACATTCATAAAACACCGGTCTACCATAGAAATGGAATACTTACTACATAACGCATCTGAAGAAACTGTTCCAACTGGAGTACCTTTTATTGTGTCAGAAACAATGTTTTGTTGTCTTTTCGATTTCCGTTGCTCAGGTTCACCTTCTGTCATCTCTTCAATACTATCTGCAATATCCCTGCGTAAAAAACACACCGAGTTAACATACTGAATATGAAGTAGACAGAAATACTACTACGTAATTAAGTTAACCAGGAAATAGTATTGCAAAATTTAATCCCCCCATTGTGGGAGATAAAATTTCTCATTTAAATAGTAAAATATTAAGTTTATAAAAGTCAGCAAAACACATATATGCAAAAAATTATCTATAAATTCAACGAGCTGCCAAAGTTATTTAAACCTGTTTCTAGTATATTCATAATCGAATACATCAGGAGTGGCCAACCTGATTTCGACAGCAATTGACAAAAAATTTCACAATAGCTCGTAATCGTGATTAAAGTATTGGCCAACCGTGGTATACATCATAGATTTTGCACTTCACAAAATTCAATGAAAGACTTTAATCAGTAGTTCAAATAATAAAAATTTAATATCTCACTCTTCATCAGATGCATCAAAGGTTAATGTTAATGGAACTTGAGGAGAACCTTGAATCGTATTGAGAGATAATTCTGGCATTCTCAACTTGGCGATGTTAATAACAGGATTCTTTTTTTTGCATGAGAAAATTTGTTCTTCCATAGACCTGCTTTTCTTTACATCATTAAGTTCCTTTTCTGTTTGTGACAAATCATGAAGATTTCAATTAAATTTATCATGTCATTTTGGCAGTTGGAATAACACGAGAAAACAATTTTTATATTGTTTTGAAATTTGGCATAAATTCAAAAAATGTTAATCAAATAATATGTAATATTTTGAAACAGTGACTTATTTTGGCATTCAAGTAATGGTGTAAATACTGGACATGAGGGTGTTGGTGTTCAGACCTGATTGTTTGTGTCTCATAGATACATACCAAAGGGGAAAGTTATGACAAACCATAATGAATTTGGTAGCCAAACCTAGAAGTTGCCTGGACCGTCTTTGTGAAGATATGAAAAAACTTGATGAAAATTATCCATCTCTATCATTGTTATACAATATTATGATGTTAAACAAGCAGTGTCAAAGAAAAATTAACAATGAAAAAGTTATAGACTCACCATCCTGCTTAAAATCTGGTGATGCAGTGTTTTTGTCAGTATCATTTTGATCTTCTGAAACTTTTCTTGAACTGAAACAGAAACATATACATGAGACATTACTTACATCATATTATTACTGATGCATTTGTGTCCAGTTGTATGCTACCCTGTCCATGTTTAATATACAACAGCAGTTCCCAAAAGGGTGGCGAAGTGCGCCTCGAAAATTATCAGAATTATGTTAATTGTTAACTAATATATGATTGAATAATTAACATATTGTATTTATCATAAATCATAAATGTTTTATTGTTTCATATTTTAAATAATGAGTAAATATAAATCGAATTCGTTCCACCTTCTCATTTAGTTCACTTACTGTTACGTAGTGTTTGCTTCTATTGTTATGTAACTGTTACTGAGGTACTACTTGTCATTCTGCGAGCTGCAGTTTATTAATTTACTGAACAGAGTTTAGCGAACATGAGTGATTTTTTCACTTTTGTAAAAGATCTTTTTGCTTTGTATGTTACAAACTTTAAAAGACATAAAGTACACATTAACGATCACAAAATCGAGTTTATTTATAAACGCAGCAATATTTTTTCCATGTAAGTGCACCAGGAGTTCTTTTCCAGATAATTTGTCATCGTACAAACAAAAAGTTTGGGAACCGCTGATACAATAATAAACATTCATGACGTGTATTGATATCGAATAAACAGAAAATATTATTGTAGTTGGCTCGCCTCACCTCAGTGGAGCAAGTGCAGACTTCTGATGACTTTCAATCAATGTCTCATGCAGAGATATTAGTTGCTTGATGCCCTGTAAATAATTTGACGTTTGGGAAATATTGAAAATTGTAAACAGTCCAAATAACAAGCTATGATAGATTTTAAAATGATTCTGAACTATTTAGAATAAGCTAAGTTTGAAATACCGTAAATGATAGAGGCTGAAACTAAAAATTGCTTCTCATTATTTAAATTTGGAAAATGACGATAAAAACAACAATGATAGTTGACTAACAAAAAAAAGGAGGTGATAATTTGAAAAACAGATCTGAGATGCTTCAAATAATTTAGAATCTGATTTAAAGTGACCAGCCCTAGTCCTATAAATCATTTTTGCAATTAAAATTTCATATTTGGAAAATTGGAGATTCAAACGGCATAAATTTACCAGATCAAGGTGAATACAACCAGTTTCAAGTTTTAATGCAAGATCACGAATCTGTAACTAACTCAATTTATGGGTTTATTTTTGTCGAAAAATTTGACTTGAATAATTTATCAGAATCGAATTGAAAATAAATTACCGGTATAGCCTATATGACAACCATGATTGTTATCCAATATGTAATTGGTATTTGCTAGTTGCTACATTACCAGGGCATAACCCATATTCAAAAAAGAGAATTTAACTTTTTGGACTCAACTCTATCTAGGAAATGAATTTCTTACCGGAATTTCATTCTCTACTTCCATGAATTCAGGAGAGGTTAATACTTTCTGCTAGGTGTAAAAACAGAATTAAACTACATGATAAAAATTGATCAATCTTATTAAAATTGAAACAAATCCTTACCTCGGTATCAATTTCTTTTTTTGTTGTGGGTTCAGGAGAAGCAGGAATAATATTCTGCTGAATGGTTTGATCCACTGCTTCAGAGGTTTTGTCTTTTTCAAAGTTGGGTGAGACCGGTTTTGGATTTTCCTGTGATGCCTTTGATTCTTGAAGTTCATTATCTGGAGACTTAGAATGAGGTTCTAACATATTCATATTACTATTCCAGTCACCTTCGACATCATTTTTCTGCATGCTCAGTTTTATGTTTGGTGTCGTTGTTTCAGACTCAATAATCTTCCTAGAATTGTAAAATTCAAGATGAGGTGAGAATAAATTGTGTCACTTGACAATTCAAAGATTTACAGTATATTGATTATTTTCTAGTTCTAGTTTTTCCAGTTACTGTTAGTTCATTTTATCATGTGTTACAGCGTATCTAATACTTTGTCAAACAAATGTATTTATTGCTTTTTTGCATTATTCCGAATGTTTTTACTTATCATACTATCACATACATATTATACTGATACAAACATTTTAACATTCTTTTTTTTCCTTGTTTTGACAGACATCAATTTTTGATCTCCTTCAACAAAAATTTCATTACAATTAGCATCTGATGATTTCATCCTTGAAGATCTCGTACTAAAAAGTGAGGCAAATACATTTACAATAAAAATTCCAAATTCTTCTAGTCATTGAATTATAAAAATACGAACATTTTAACTTTCTTGCTCTTTTTTGCAACAGCTTTATCAGGCAATATTTCAGATTGTCCAATATCTTCAGCATTATTATCAGATAGCTTCATCCAAGATGAACTAGTGCTCCTAAAATATAGAGCAAACACACGCATAATGAAAATCCTATAATTGTATAGCTATTAGCTAATGGCTCATACATAGAAATAAACAATATCCAAAGTACAATTCAACAAGAAACCTTTTATCAACTCTAGGTTGACCCCTCCTTGCTCTTGTTCTTTTCGTTTTCTTCGTGTGTGGGGTCACCGGTGGTATCATAACTCTTGGCACATCTTCAGATGAACTTTCAAAATCTTGTTCTCTATATATGTATGTATTAACATTATGTGAGATAAATCCATGAAGAATACAGCAATGTTAGTATTATGTTACTGATTTCTGGATGAATAATCCAATCATGATTTTTTCAATGATATGCAAAATAATTAGGATGGATACGGGTTGGAATCTCATACTATTCAAATCCCTGATAATAGGTTTCGGTTTACACCCCTTTCGCACTTTTCTGTGATGGGAGATATCACTGTGATTACTTGATAAACATTTTCATTTTCAGAATATCTTTCTATTATGAGATTGGTGTTCTTCCAAAAATAAAGATGCAAATGGAAAAGCTGACATGGTCGAAATTACCAAATAAGATAGCTGAAATGTTTATTCCGGATTCGATTTGAAGTCCTCTGATATAGTAAATTATTCCTAATTGCCTATCCCTAGTCTTACATAGGAAGCTAGTATGATTTCACAATGGATCAGATTCCAACTATGGAGCCACAGTACATTCAAACTTTGGCACCAACCCAACTTAACAATTACCGGTATCTCTTATTTGGATACCAGTAATAAAACAGACATACCTAATTTCATTTACTGATCGCATTAGAGCTGCAAATGATTTATTTACAAATTGCAATGATTCCTCCAGCTTCTTCTGACCTGCTTCGTACAATTCTGAAAATGGCCATATTTTCATGGGATTTTCTTTTTTAATTTCTAGAATCTTTCCACCATTGGCTTGTAGTTGCCTAAAATTAAAAATGGTTATATAGTAATAAACAGTGTGTTATAAAAACAAGTGTTATATCTGTCTGTCTGTATACAGCAAAAATCAAGTGTATAGAGCAGGTACAATGTCTGAATGTGGTTAGCCAAATATCAATGCAGTAATGCATTCTCAGATTCTAGGGTGGTTTACACAATTTGGAATAAACTTCATTCTGGGCATGAAATCTGAACTAAGAATACACATTACAGGTAGGATGTGAAAAGGATTATCGAAGTTTAATAAAGACATTGAAAGCTTAATTTATTAGTAAACACGAGAAAATAATAACAAATCTAAATTGAACACTTACGCAGAAGTTGTAGGCCAAGGCAACACTAAATTTTCATCTTTAATTTTTAAAATACTAAGTTCAAGAGATTGATCCATTGCTGTAATCGATGTGCAGCTGGGTAATTAAATATACTGAATATATGTTAGCGTACGACCATAACTAAAGACAAGAACTGAAGAAAGACAGAAGAAGTTAAGAACATCCAGCCAGCAAAAGTTCATTTTTTGTGTTTTACAGTTTTATCCAGAGTCAGAGCATTGCCTAAGTTTGACAATGCTTTTCACAACAATGTGGAATGGAAAAAGGTTTTCACATACAGACATAACTCGGATTACCCTGCGTGGGTTCGCATCTAATGCGGGGTTAATATTGTGCGAGAGGATTGCCGGACTCTTCGTCGTCGTTTATGGAACCCAGTGATGGGCAAGGTTTTTAGCCCAAAAAGAATTGCCCATTCGGACTGGTGGGCCATATGAGTGTAACCTAAAAAGTTCCATTTTACTGTTTTATGAAGAGTGTTAAAAAACTAAATTTAATAGCAATCAATCTCAACAAATTCCTTGATCTATTTTTTAGCTGAAACATCAAAATTTGGTTTTAGTTTGGTTACGGCAATTGTCAAAACAGATTTAGAATGTATTATCACCTTCCCTTTTCCCCCCCAGAATAAAAATATGATAATAAATATATCCTATCCCAGTAGTTCCCAAACATTTTTGTACTGTCGCACCCTTCAACCCTTACAGTATTTTTTACGTTACCATCGCCCCTGAAACGAAAATTCCAATCAAAACAGTTCCCACTCGCGATTACAGGATTATGACATTCAGTAAAATTGCGATGAAGATTTTTCTGTTGCGCAAAATAGTCAGATACAAGTATTAACAAGAATTTGACATATTTACCAGGTAATTATTTTCAACATACCTCGCTGCTGCGCCTACTTACAAAAAAATATTAGTATTAGTGCTCTGAAATACTGCAATCTGCCTACATAAAAAAAAAAGGTATAGCCTACCAGTGTACTCAGATACTGCAGTACTGCCCGGTTATAATTTGATTCGTACGTTTCTGATCTTGGTAATATGTTAAATTTGAGCCGCCCACAGTAATTTTCAAATTATATATCTCTGTTAGCATAATCCCAAGGTCGACAATGAAATTTAACATTTTCATTATTGCATTATCATCACAATAAGGAAGGAGGCCGTGTGCGACCCGGCAGTAATTTAATAATGGCAGAACGGATAATGGAATGGATCAACTTGGTGATATAATGGATCAACAGCTGACTACGGTATAGTCTACAATCGAAAATTCTGAAATTTTGCGATTTAACACTTCCGAAATATGATTTTTATTCTGTCGCATTACTTCTGCAGTCAGACAGTCCTAATTCAAAATTTATGGTTTTCCAGTTTTATATAACCTCAGAACTTATACATGTAAGTTACCGGTATATATTACTGTATTATGACACCCCTTCTAAATCTTAATATTCCACTTTTTAATATGCACTTCCTTATTTTTCAATGAAAAATTTTTTGCATATGTCAATCCTGACCCCCACCTGACTACGCCACTGAAAAATTAAGTCATTTTGATGTCACAGTGGTGTAATAGGGCCCACCAACACCCCAAAGTATGCGGATGGTCGTCCAAAACGCGCAGACGATCACCCGAAATCGAGCAATCTATTTCTCTCATTTTCTCGTCACAACGATCACGATATGAGAGAGATATCAGGCGTTATTTCGTCCCTACGAATTTTTCGCCCCTTAGTTAATCGCTTTCGCCCACCGGGGGCCGCACTTTGAGACTTGCTGTCCTATCCTGTATGAGATTTTCACACAATTAGTGCTTGCATACGTTGTATTTGAGGTATCTTTAACAATTCGTTTTACCATTATCTCAAGTGTTATATATTTTATCATCATCAACATTCGTTATTCCCATAATCCTGTAATCACCATAAATTTTAATTTTATTAGTAGAGTAATTTAACATTGAAATAAAGCATGTAAAGAGAAGTTTTTTTAGAGGTTAGTCATCTATTTATTTTAGTCTACACATCCATTTATAAATTCATATACACACCCTTATATATTATACTTCAGAAATAACATAATCTATACATTGTTGAGTAGTATTTCTGTAATTTCGGTGTTTCTTTCCAGCCCCTGCAAACTACGGTCGGTTACGGCTTCCTCCACCACCAAGTCCATGCTTCCGAAAACAAAACAATATAACTAATCCCATACCCGACTCGAAATGGTAACCGGACGAGGGGCCGTGGTTCGCCATATGGATAAGCCGTCTTATCGGCTTTCCTCTCCCCCGGGATAAATATGTAAATCCTATCCTCCTATCCTTTTGTTTCTGAACGATACCCCTTATACCAGCATTTCATTATTCTTTTTACCTGTTGATTAACAGTTTCAATATCATCATCTAAATGATTTGTGCCAAAATATATGGCAAGATTTTCTATACAAGGATCTTTAGCTTTTAACCATTCTTCAGCATGCATGAATGTATCGCCTGGTATACAGGTATATGAATTGTTTTGACAGTTTGTGATGAGATTACATCTTTTATTCTTTTTACCTGGGATTCCCATATCAAAAGGATTTTCGGCTGACTTTCAGTCTTTTCATATTTACTCTGATTCCCTTTAATATTATTTTCTATTACAGTATTATATCACTTTCATTTCTTAGTCTCATCAATGATGTGATTGCATCTATTTCTAGTTGGTCGAGTTCCATATTTTCCTCATTCTGTCATTTCTGCATTGTGTTCCTTTGAAAGTGGTGATTGTGAGATTTTTTTGTCAAGTTTAGTTTGTTGTTGTGTATCCATGATTTCTAATAATTGCTTGTTTTTATTTCCTTCAGCTGTTTCATGACTTTCATTATTTGTTTTAGCAATTACAGAATTATGTTTTTTTGTTGTTTTTGTTTTTCAACTCCACTGGCTATTCTTAGTTCCTGTCCATATATTCTGATGTTTGCTGTGTCTTTCTGCGACAGTTTTTTGTCAAATGTCAGAATGTGGCTGACCTTCCATTCCACAAAAATCGCATGGAATTCATTTATGACATTCATTTGATAAATCTGTACACTGGTACATGTTGACTATGTGTAAAAATGTAGCAATGTTTTCCCACTATGATCTGTTTTGATTAATATGCCATTTGAAATTGACCAACTCCTGAAAAACCCATGTGCCAGTAGGCCTATGCCATGGGTATTAATTCTTCTTGGTATATATTTTTTTAATACAATTCTGAAATTTGGATTACTCTTGCTGTCTTGTGCCAGTTGCTATTTCTGTATTTTGTCTTCATCAGACAGTCAGAGATGTTTTGGATATTTAAACATTCTCCATATCGACACCTCAAAACCAAACAGTGCTAAGTCCATTTTTCCAAAAAATGACATTTTTCAATTGCTGATTTTCCTGGACTTAGCTCTACATTTTGGTCTATTTGCCTTATCTCTAGGTGCTCTAGATCTCAAGACAGCTATGGACATAACCCTGCTTTTTTTAGGGCATTTGAGAACTAAACAGAGCTGTGTCTACTATAGTGGACTTAGCTCTGGATAACTGCATTGTAAGTTGGGGCTAAGTCCGTTTTTTGGACATAGCTCCTCTCAAAAAATATAATACAAAGCGCTAAGTCCGTTTTTTGGACATAGCTCCTCTCAAAAAATATAATACAAAGCGCTAAGTCCATACCAGCCTCTATAATAACATAATAAAGGGGCCCTAAGTCCAATAAAATTGTTTTTGGTCCAGAAAATTGAGAGCCAAAAAGGGTTAAGTCCAAAAACCCCCCCCAAAAAAAAATTGGGGCGGAGCACAAATTTTTTTATACCATCTAAATATGGCCTTCATTGTAACTTTGGTGGACCATAAAAACTAGACATCCTCGATGTAAGGTATTAGAGAAATAAAAAAAAGAAACCCAAAAAAAAAAATTTTTTTTTTTTTTTTTTCTCAAAACTAGAAAAATGGACTTAGCCCAATTTGGATTTCATGCGTCGATATGTTTGAAGCATTTCTGTGACATCAGCATGCAATAAATGGTACCGTAAGGTGTTTTACTCATTTTAACTTTAGTAACATCATTCTGTCATTAGGATAGGATAGGATTTACATATTTATCCCGGGGGAGAGGAAAGCCGATAAGACGGCTTATCCATATGGCGAACCACGGCCTCTCGTCCGGTTACCATTCCAAGTCGGGTATGGGATTAGTTTTACTGTATTGTTTGTTTCCGGAAGCATGGACTTGGTGGTGGAGGAAGCCGTACCGTAACCGACCAGCGGTTCCTATATATCCTGATATCATTCTGTCATTGGATAGGTTATACTGTTACTGTGTTATAAAATCTTCATTTTCTAATTTCAGAATTTTGAAATTGATACCGGTACCGAATTCCTTCCATTAATAAAATTGTTACATGCAGACATGATTTTCTTTGTGTAGACTAATGTGACAATCCATGATTTTTCTCCTTCTTCATAGACACTTGCTATATTAGATAATAGATTTTCCAATTTTTTGACCAATAAAGTCAACTACCGGTACCGGTACATCTTTTCTATGCACCCAATTATTTTTTTCAAATTTAACAACGATTGTATTTTTTGTTACAAGATTCAGTCTCCTTTCTGTCACTTTGCTTTTAGCATATACTTCGGCATCTTTTTCGCCATCTCCCATATTATTTTATATGTCTGAATCGTTTTTACTTTCTCATCTGTTTTAGTCGCCGGCGTACCGGTACCGGTACCGTACCGTAGAGCACGCTACAACCCGCCTCATTTGTATTGTAACCAACAACTGTATTTGAGGAATCGTCAATCTTAGTTTGTAATTGGCGGGACTAAATCAGTCAAGCGTTTCTTCAACCTTCGACCCAGCAAATTCGTTATTGGACACGTTAGTGGACACAATGACATATAACAACATGATGCGCAACTCCGGCATTTTTGTCCGAAGATCGTATTCGATAGCACGCTCCAATGCACATACTTGACGAGACGAAAACGAGCGGATGTGTGCTGCTTTCAAGGCGTAGCACGAATGGTGTTCGTGCCTGCTTTGACAGTTGTTGTCGATTTTAATGATATTTTTGAAAGTTGGGGTAAGAAGAAATCGGTAAAAGGTAAGGAGAAT